TAAAATTTAATATTTTTTTTTAGTTTTATTTTTTTTTTTTGTTAGGATTTCAACATGATAATTTAAAAAGGTAAAGATTCAAATTAAAATCAAAAATTAATATGTTAAAAATAAATTAAATATCAAGTAAAAAACAAGTGATTACTCCTGTTTAAAAGTTTCAGAAGAAGTCAAGTTCATTGTCAATTATCAAAAGTTTACTTTTTTTTTTTTTTTTTAAATTGATCAAGGGAAGAAATTTTTTTAAACTCATTATCCAATAGGGTGTTCCATAATTTAGGTCCTCTGATTGCTATCGAGAACCTAGTCGCAGAATAATATCTTTTTGGTTGAATATAATTGTTGTTTGAAAATCTTGTTGGATATAAATGATTTATTTTTTCGAAAAATGGATTATATAAAAGGGGTGCCATTTTATTATCTACTTTGAACATAAATATAAAAATATGATATAGGTTAAGTTGAAATACGTTAAGTATTTTGAATTTATTAAAAAGTAATTTAGTGTGCGAAAAGCGATTCTTATTTCCAATAATTCTTAAAGCGTGTTTTTGTTTAATTAGAAGTTCTTTATTTTTAGATACATTAGTGCTGCACCAAGCAACGTTAGCGTAATTTAGATAGCAATGAATAAAAGAAAAGTAAATAAGTTTCAAACAAGTTTGGTTCAACAACTGTTTTGCTCTGTATATAAGGCCTATATTTTTCGAGATTTTATTTTGGATTATTCGTATGTGCTTCTTCGATGTTACGTTTTCATCAAAAACAACGCCTAGCAACAACAAAGAACTCTCTCTCTTTTGACATAAGAGTTATTAACAAAAAGCTTAGGAAGTTGTAAGGGTATGTTGTCTTTATCATGAAGACGATGGAAGAAAGTATATTTTGTTTTTTTAATATTTATGGACAATTTATTTGATATAAACCATTCGCTTAGTTTCACAAGCTCCTTGTTCACTGTTGTAAATAAAAAATTAATATCTTTATTTGAATAAAATACGTCAGTATCGTCGGCAAATAAAATAAAATTTATGATTGGAAAATTTACTCAAGTCATTTATATAAATGAGAAATAAAAGCGGTCCTAGAATTGATCCTTGGGGAACTCCGCAGGTAATTGTCATCAAGTCTGTTTTCTCGCCATCATATAAAATGCATTGTTTCCTTTTCTTTAAATAACTCTTATACCAGCCTAAGTTAGAATTTATGATACCATATTTTTTAGGTTTATAAAGAAGAATATTATGATCTGCGGTATCAAACGCTTTGCTCAGATCAATAAAGACACCTAAAGTAAATTTTTTTTCATCAAACGCTTTAAAAATTTCATGCACAAGATTAATTATTGCGTGATCAGTCGAATGAACGGATTTAAACCCGAATTGTTTATTGTAAAGAATATTAGAAAGAATAAAGTATATTATACATTATACGCTCCAAAATCTTTTCTGTTCAGATCGGTCTGTAGTTGGAAACATCAGAAGGATCACTTGTTTTAAAAATTGGTGTAAATTTTGCACCCCTTAGTATTTCAGGAAAAATTTTTTATTTCTTTATTTATTGTTAATGTTTTATTATAAACATTTAATATAAATGATTTATATCAAAAGTAAGTGTTTTAGTTTAGAGTATTTTTGATGTAAAACCGTTATATTTTTACTTAACAACTGAATGTATAAAAAAATGTTAAATTGCTTAAAATTTTGAGGTGCTATAAATTAAAGTTTAGTTTATAGCACCTCAGAATGCTCGAACTAGAATTCCATTTAGTGTTGTAAACTATTTAGCTTTTAAAAACTTTATAGGTGCTTTGAGACCGGCTTATTTAAGCCATATGCCATCAGAAAAAATTATGAGAACAACTCTTTTGATGAACCAGTATGAAAAGTATTACAATATTGGCTTTAAAATGATAAGCAAAAGTCCTTATTTTTCAATTTAAAGTAATGGTTGGTTAAATATACGAAATGATCACCTTGTAAAATATGTTATCATAATTCCTGGAAAACAACCTTTTTTTTTTAAATCTTTAAACACTAGTTTAAAACAAGAAAATCTGTTGTTGAAAGTATTTTAAAGTTTCTAGAAAAAAATAGGAAGTGATAAATGTGTTTCAATTATAACTGATAACACTAGTTCAATGAGAAGTAGTGGAATATTATTGAATGTATGTTTCAAAAAATATTTGCTAATGGATATGCTGCTCACGTTGTTATCTACTCATAAAAGATATAATTTCTTTGGATTATTTTAAAGAAACAATGACATCTGTTTTACAAATTGTCTTATTTATAAAAAGAATGCAATTGCTTACATATAGGTTTAATGAATTAAAAAAACAAAATACCTTAGTGATTCCTGTTGACACTCACTTTTAATTGAGGGTCACATTATGTCAAATATTAAAGAATCAGAGAAAAAAAATCATTTATAAAAATTGTTTCCAAGTAATATAATTGAAAAATTTGAAAGTGATAATATAATTTAGCAAACATTTACAATGGTTTTAAAAGACCCCTTTGTCATTTTGAAAAACACGATTTAGATTCAGGAATAATTGTCAAGTTATTATATGAAAGGTGGGCTTTAATTTATACAGAATCTAGGGGATTTGCTTTTGTTTTATCACCAACATATGCTAGTGATGACATGATTGGTTCAGATAAATTAGACACTTTGAAACAATTAAAAAAATATTTTACAATATTTTATGATTCAGAAGAAGAAATTAGTTTAGCTATTTTTGAGTAGAATGAATATTTAACATAATTGTGCTTATGTCAGACAGTACCAAAAAAGAAATTTTTAAAATGTCAAATTTTCAATCCTGGGCAATTGTTGGAAAAAGCAAATTTCCAAGTTTAATTAAAATTGCAATCAGGTTGCTCACAATTCTGACATCTTCTGCTTCTAGTAAAAGAGTTTGGAGCACATATAATTTTATTCACGGAAAGAGAAGAAACAGACTATTAAATGGAAATGTGTAAAAGTTAGCTTTTCTTTACATCAATTCATCTTTATTAGGTAAGGAAGATAAACAAAATTAATTATGCGATGAAGGCTATAATAAAGATGATGAAGAAAAAAATGACTTTATTGAAATCCTTTTATGATTTGACTCAGTGACCACCTTTTTTAGCAGAGATCAAAAATATATATTCTTGAAGTTTTAATTGTAAAAACCGTGTAAAGTTAAACTTAGTCTTATGTTTTATGCAACAATTTAATCTGTGAAACAATATTTAGTGTGAAAAACAGGAAAGTTAAGTTATTGAACAACAAAAAATTATAACATATTTTTTCACCCATTTTTGTTACTTATTTGTTATTACATTTGTTCATTGATTTTTACAATTTTTTTTTTCCTTAATAATGTTATAAAACGTTTGTTGTTAAGTCTATAAATTATTGTTAAATAAATATTTGTTATTTATTATTCATAATTAAAGTAAATAGCTACAGATTGAAGACATATGTTAAAATTTTGTCGCATAAAAACAAACATAAATGGACCAGAAGTTCTCGTCAGGGTTAGGATTTTTTGAACCAAAATATGGAAACTAGATGGAAGAAAACGTTTTTGACCGTGATTTGACTTTTCCGAATATTATTAGAGTCACAATTTCCTTTTGCAGCATGACATCAATGAAGATGATGAATTTTATATTTTTACTTAATTTTTCACGCGATTTTGATTCCAGAATTATCTTTAAGTTTTAAGTTTTATTTTGCCTAAGAAACGGGATAAAATAAAATAAAAATACGCGTGGAGCAGTTTATGAAGTCCGACGTTTCTAAAATACTTAAATAGAATTATTGTTAACCTGTTAAATAAATCATACAACACGTGGTAACATAAAACAGACGAATAATTTAATTTTAGTACTCTAAAACAAGGAAGGGAAAAAGAGGATTTGATTCAATACTTTAAAGCACTCAACGGGTTAAACAAAGTTAATTAGTTTCATATCAATGACATACTAAAATTCAAATAATAAAATTAAAACTAAAATTATCATCGTAAACTCCATTTTTCTTGAATAACGTGTTGCATACACCAAGATGAATTGCATGATTAAAGCAAAACCGATCAATAATATCTATTAACTGCATTAGCTTCTTGTTGATTGCTGCATTATATTGAGTAGAACCTACTACATCTGCTTCCATGCAGACACCAAATGAATTCAAATGATCCTTAATATTTTGCAATAAATTTTCAGCTGGACAGGAACAGAAAAATCCTAATGAGGCCAGTTTTATAGGTTTTCTTAGATTCGCTTTCATGCAGTTTGACACCAATATACCTTCTGTGCCTCAAAGATGTGTATTCGTCATGCGTTAAGCTGAATTTATATCACATTTAAATTCAGTGGTGTATTTGAGCTGCTGCTTGATTCTCTAAATAAACATCTACATTAACATATTTATGTAAGCATTTGCTTACTTTTTTTGCTAATCGATACGGCTTTTTTGGAAGAAGAAAGAAAAAATCAAGATGAAGCTCCCGGCTATTGGCAATTTAAGGGTAATGTCACACTGCTCACATAAATCAGCAGTATAAGATGTATATATATATATATATATATATATATATATATATATATATATATATATATATATATATATATATATATATATATATATATATATATATATATATATATATATATATATATAACGCTGTACATCGTGAGAAATTACAAACAAAAATAAATGAAGTGTATGATTTTCGGAAACTAATCATTAGGATTTCGGCAAATTAGGCACATTGACAAGGGATTTTGATCAAAAAACACATGAGCTGTTTACCACTTGAACTAAGGATTTTAGTAACTTGAGTAAAATAGAGTAAATAAATAAAAGAATATTGATTTTGAAAACTTTTTTCAAAAACTTTACATTGACAACTGCTTTGTTTCATTAGAAATATTTTGCAAAAATAGAAGATTTTTTTAAAATTAAACATGAAAACTAGTTGTCGAGAAAACAGTCCGTTGTAACTGATTAACTATTATTCTTTTAAAAAATACAAAATTTTAGAAACCAGGGTGAATTGACTTGACGCTTTAACATAAAGCAACAAACCCAACAACAAAGCAATCAAGATTTACATTGAAATGAGTTACGTTGGATGTCACAATTGCTAATTTTTCAGGTTTTTATATTTCATATGCAAAAATTAAATCTCTAACGATTTGTAAGCTAAATACTTTCTGTCTTTATATATAACGTTCATATTGATTACCAGCTATATTATTCAACTCAAGTCTTTCAATGCTACTTTCTACCGTTCTTTAATATTGGTTTCTCGTCTAGAAAAAAAAAGCTTTAAAAATTCTTTTAGCTTTTAATATCATTGCTTTTATCTTATTCTTAACATCCAATGTAACTTTAAAATCTTTAAAATAAATTTACTGCGTTTTTATAGTCGATATTTATAAATAATTTTTAAAATAAATAGATAGAGTTATATTTATAACTCTAAAATTTAAATTAATAATAAAATAATTTAAGTAAAAAAAGTAAAAAAAACAAATCATTTTACTTTTAGATGATTAAAATTTTCAAGCCGTATTCACTCCTCTCCGTTACTCTGCGATAAGCTATCTGCTGATTAAAAGCAAACGGCAGTTTTTAATGCCAGCGATAAAATAAACTTGTATGTCTCTATTTGGTTATCGGAAGAAGTAAATTTAGTTACCCGAAGTCTGTTAACGCCAAAATATACCCCTGCTATACCCTACAGTTAAAACTGCTATTGGAGAAGTTTTCTATAAAATTAAAATAAATAAAAAGTAGTATCCAATCAAAACAAGCAAAAACAAATTAACTTTTATAACAAGTAAGCTATGGTATATACACTGCCGTGAAATTCGCGGTACTATATCGTGAATTACACGGTATTGCATCGTTAATGCGTTTTACGGTACAATACCTTTAATATTACGGTACCTTGGCCGTGAACTCTAATTTACGGCATTGTTCAACTACTTTACGGTATTCTACCGTGAAATTGTGGAGAGATTTTATGTAAGTATAAGTTGCTATGTTTTTTTTTAATGTTTAGTTCTTAATTTCTATTTGAAATATTTGTATATTTTTTAATAATTGATCCTGCAATTAATAAAATAGTATCATTTTTTTCAATAAAATTTCTTGTCGCACTTTATTTATAAATAAGGATAAAAGATTTAATTTATTTAATATATTTATTTAATATATTTAATATATTTAATTTAAAGTGTTCTTTAAATATTTAATTGCTCGATTTTATAGCTTCAATTCTGTCTAGCAATAAAGATTAAACATTTAAGTGCTGCTGATTGGTATTTGAGATTTGTTGTACCTTGGGCCAAAATGTCTAAAGAGGCACAAGATATATTTGTAGCTGGAGAAAGACATTCAACAGCACATCAACTATAAGCATTATTATGAATGATATTCTTGCTGTTTGCTTACGCCATTAAAAAACATTTAGATGTAATTGCATCTTCTGTGGTTGCCAAACATTCTAAAAGTCCCACAGTAATTGGTAGGGGTCATGACAGAGGGGTCCTAATTATTAGTTGATGTCATAAAAAAAGATAGTTATGGTTACTTAAACTGAGAACCAGTTCTCAACGTTTCAAACAGTCCTGAAGAACTCCATTACTATTTATAACGAACTAAAATAAATGAAAAGATCTTGTCAAATGATTTGTTGATAAAATTCTCCAATTTATTTACAATAAAGTAAAGTTCTTTTTATTTAAAAATAAAATAACTTATGTTATTAATCTATATAATGATAAATGAATAGATATTTCATTTTTATAGTATTCAATTTGATTTTTGTAGAAGTTTATTTTATTTAGTTTTAGTATATCTATGTATTTAAATTGATTTTTTATATTTAGTTTGATGGTTTGCTGCATCACTTTGATGTTTTGATGTGTGGAATGAATGCTGGTGAACTCTTGATAAAAGCATTAGATGATGAAAAATTTATGGTATGTTGAATTTCAAGTTCGTATATGTTTTAAGTTTTTGAAAATCAAAAACTTGAAACATATTTTGTAAAAAAAGGATGAATTCTATCATTTTTCTTTATATATACTTAAGTGGATTTTTTTTAGGTAAACTTGCATTCTTTTTTTAGGAAATTTGCTATTTTACAACAAATGGATTCATGCTGGTAATTGATTGCATTGTTGTGGTTGATGGAAGGACCAATTTTGTCAAGTCATTTTGTTGTTTGTTTTCGAGTTTTTATATTTTCAATATATCATATCCATAAATAAAAGAAGCTTCGAATTTTGTCAACGGTATATTATGTTTATGTTATGATGAATTTAATTTATTTAATTTTTCTAAAGTTTATATTGTATTTGATTTTAATGGTATTTTTTATTTATTGATGAGAATGTTTTCAAACGTCAATTGTTTATACATATATTATTGACCGTTCTAGTGCATTTTTCAGCATCAATCCTGAAAAAGGGAGCAAATCAAGGCGAACGAAGGAGACTTGTACTTCTGCAGTACTGCAGAAGTTTGCAAGATTTAATATTTAAATTTACTACGTAGTTAAACTAAATATAACTTTGAAAAAACAATTTATTTTGTAGATATTAGAATCTGATACTCTCAAAAAATGTAAAATTTGTTTTGAACTCAAAAAAAAAAACTATGAAATCTAAACTCGATTTTATTTGATCTATAATTACTTATTCGTTATTTAGACAAAATTTCCTGCGTTTTGGAGCAACTAATGCAATTATTCTTCATTAAATACAAATGTGATTGGTTAAAGAAGAATTATTTTAGGTTTTAACCATTCGTATTTGTACATTTTTTACAAATTTTTTCTATCACTTTGTAGCAAGTAATGCAATTGTACTCTAAATCATAAATGAATGGTTAAAAAACAGTTAAAACCCAGTGACGGATTAAGACTTCCTGGGGCCCGGGGCTTTTTTTTTTTTGGAGACCTTTTAATGGGCCAGAGCCTAAAAATGACTTAAAAAAAAAAAAAAAAAAGGTCCTCTAAAATTTTTGGGGGCCCTAAATTTGCGGCGCCCGGGGCTATAGCCCCCCCCCCCCCCCTTGATCCGGCACTGTTAAAACCAATCACTATTTATTAAAAAAACTCTTGCGACAGTTGCTACAAATCTTCTGCAAAAAAATAAAAAAATGTTTCAAATAAGATAGGAGAATGTGTTTATTAACTAATCAATTTTGTAAGAAGTTTAGAACAATTGCATCAGTTGCTCCAAATTCTGTAATGGATTGTTATATCCGGAAGCAAGAAGATAGTAAAGATTATGTTGCTTTAAGGTAAAACCCTATTACTAAAGTTAATAATGTTATTAGTCCTAAAACTGAAACAAATAAAAAATAATTCTGCAATATTTTCTTTTATAGAAAAAGTTAATTCTGCAAAACATGTCAAAACCCAATCTAAAATTAACTTTAAAAAAGACAATGTTTTTATAAAGTTGCCTTTTGAACTTTCTGTAAATTCTAAAATATTTGAGTGATTAGATTCCAATTCAGTTAATATTCCTTTATATAAAAACTCAAATACTTTAAATGTTGTTTCAACATATCTAACCCAGGGTAAGCCTTAACCGCTGACAAAGACGATGCAATTTTTGTAAACAAAGTATTTCGTCCTAATTCTATATTTATCCAATATCTATTTCATAGATGTTTAATAGACTATTAATACAAAAAGATAATTTAAAATTGAATGACTCCACTTTTTTTTGGTTAGCTTATTCTAGTAAAGAAGATTGAGCTTACTGTTTTCCTTGTACTTTGCTATGTGATAGTATTCCAAATAAGTCTGAAATAGTAAATTTAGTTTTCAATCCTTATCAAAAATGGGGTAATGCTGTTCATGATTTTAAAAAACACGGGAAAAGTTACGTTTTACATAAAAGGTCTATACTTCCATTTAATGCATTAAGTTCACGTTGCAACCTTAAAAGTAATGTTATTGAGGTTGATTTAAACAATTTTCGTCTAAAACTTTTTTCTGATAACTGAAAAAAAAATGTTTCAATAACTAAAAAAACAATACTTCTTGGTTGGAAAGGTTGGAAAAGATAACTTCATAGTGCTTTTAAAATTTCGCGTTGATGCTGGTGATCAAATATTAGCTAATCATTATTTTTCAAGTCCAAAAAATACAACCTTTATATCAAAAACTGCCCAAAACCAACTTATTGATTCTTGTGGAAAAACAATTGAGCTAGCTTTAATAAAATGTTAAGCATTCAAATATTTTTTCAATTCTTTGTGATGAAGCATAAACTTATATAATACACTTCAAGAGACTTTTTGGACTTGATATTCAAATTTGTAGACCTTAAAGGCATGATGGTGCAGGATTTAAGGGAGTTGAACATAAAGGAGTTGCTTCTTGAATAAAAGCTCCTAATCATAATGTTTTTGTGTTCATTGTGCAAGCTATAGACTTAATTCAGTTGTATCAGCTGTTACTTTTAATTTAGCTTTTGGTTTTAGTCTTGATATCCAAGAAGTGCGACCTAGATTGTGTAATTTTCAGGTTTATCAGTATAATTATCCAACAAATACAGTTTGTGACTATTTTAAACAGAGCATTACTTCTCCATTATTTGAAAATCTTATTAATGAGCTAGATAATAGGTTTCCAGAAAATTTGCTTATAAAAGAGGTTTTCCAAATATAAAAAAAGCGTTTATTTATATAGTAGGAACAATTCCAATACCAACTTGTGAATGCGAAAGAAGTATTTCAGTTATATATGTAAGTATGTATGTATGTATGTATGTATGTATGTATGTATATATGTATGTATATATATATATACTTAATCTTAGATAAGATTATTCTTCTCTCTCTCTCTCTTTCTCTTTCTCTTTCTCTTTCTCTCTCTCTCTCTCTCTCTCTCTCTCTCTCTCTCTCTCTCTCTCTCTCTCTCTCTCTCTCTCTCTCTCTCTCTCTCTCTCTCTCTCTCTCTCTTAGAGAATACAGTGGACCAGAGAGACCGCCAGGTTTTATGTCGTGTCAATTAAACGAAATTTTTTTTATTTAATTATATTTATTTTATAATAATAGAAAAAGTTGTTTTTAAAATCTAAACCAAGTGCTAAGAGTCCCAAATGGGGCAAAATATTTATGGGGTATTAAAGTAGTTTTACACCCACTATTTTTATGATTGATTATGATCGAAAATATTATACTGATTTGAAATCATATAAAAACATAGGTCTGAAAGTTTCTTCCAAGTGGTCTATTTTACATTTGAAATTAAAAATATATGTATTAAAATGTAAAAAACAAACATTTTTTTAAAAATTCCTTTTTGCGCCTTTAACAATTTAACGGAAAAAAAGTAACTATTTATGGCGTTTGAAAGAACTGGTTTTTATTATCATTAATTTCTAATTGCTGAAAAATGTTCGCCTTATTATTATAAATAAGATATTTAGAAGCTGATATTCTTTAAATGATGGAAATAATAGTAGACATAAATTTTTGTTTATAAAGAAACCTTAACTAACAATAACAAGTTAAGCAACATTAAAAATGTAATTCTTTTGCATAGCAAATAAAATCCAGGGTGCGCGATTATATAAAGAAGTTTAAATAATCGCAAAAAAGATGGCATAATTATTGATTTATATGTGGATATTGTGCTTCTATAAAATTTGTCAAATATTATAAAAGCAATATATATATATATATATATATATATATATATATATATATATATATATATATATATATATATATATATATATATATATATATATATATATATATATATATATATATATATATATATATATATGTATATATATATATATATATATATATATATATATATATATATATATATATATATATATATATATATATATATATATATATATATATATATATATATATATATATATATATATATAATAGATCTATTAGTTTAATATCTTATATTGCAGATTATAAAAAATAGAGGATTGTTAGTTTTTTTTTAACTTGTTTAAATGGATAATATTGCTTTTCAACGAAATGCTGTGTGCTGCTGTTGTTGGAAAATGTTTGGAGCCAGGTCTAAATCTTTAATTAGTGTAAATTCATATATATATATATATATATATATATATATGTTATTATTATTATTATTATTATTATTATTATATATGTATATACATATGTTATTATTATTATTATTATTATATATATAATATTATATATATATATATATATATATATATATATATATATATATATATATATATATATATATATATATATATATATATATATATATATATATATATTATATATAATTTATTCAAGATTGAATGGAGGATGATGACAAGAACAGCTTCATCTTCAACAATTCAAACCGAGGAAGGAATAAATTATATATAATATATATATATATATATATATATATATATATATATTATTTATATATATATATATATATATATATATATATATATATATATATATATATATATATATATATTATATATATAATTTATTCAAGATTGAATGGAGGATGATGACAAGAACAGCTTTATCTTCAACAATTCAAACCGAGGAAGGAATAAATTATATATAATATATATATATATATATATATATATATATATATATATATATATATATATATATATATATATATATATATATATATATATATATTATATATAATTTATTCAAGATTGAATGGAGGATGATGACAAGAACAGCTTCATCTTCAACAATTCAAACCGAGGAAGGAATAAATTATATATAATATATATATATATATATATATATATATTATATATATATATATATATATATATATATATATATATATATATATATATATATATATATATATATATATATATATATATATATATATATATATATGTATAATAAGCTTATAAGCATTAAGTCTAGGAAATTTGCAAGCAGAGCAAGTTGCATCTGGTATAATAAAAGCAAAAATGGAGACTGACGAAATTGCGAAAGGGGAACAATTTATTTTGTCTTCTGGCGGAAACCCATTGATGATTGCAGTTGGATGTCCTGATAACAAAGCAAATAGAAGGTACATATATACTGTTGAGTACATATTTATCAAATGATAAGATATTAATATTTTTTTCATTTATACCTAGGTCAGTTAAACAAGTATCTCTTCAGATGATTAAAGAACTTCAAATAGTTTTAGAACTTTCCATTAATAAAAACGGGGCTATTGATATCTACTCTTCAAAAAGGAATGGGAAGTAAGTTGGCTGTAGAAAACAACATTTTTGGAAAAATGAGTGACTTAGAAGAGTCTTTATCGTATTTTTATCAAGTAGAAAAGGTGGCAATTATATCTTTTAGTATTGAAAATTAATTATAGCATTAAAAGTTTTTCAAAAATTTATTGTTATTTTCCAGGTCAACTTCTTTGATAGTACCGGTGGCACTTCTATAAAAGACCTTGTTTTTGTTCAAGACACGTCTAGTTTTATTCTTGATTTAATTATTCAACGTTGTCTTGATCCCCAGTCAGCATTTGTTCGTATTTCTATGGATGCAGGAGGTAGTTTTATGAAACTACCTTGTAAATGTTTTCGATGTTAATGAAAATACTACTTCAAATTTATACTTAAATAGTGGTGTTCAACGATGCCAAATCCTCTCCATAGTTGAAGATGTGCAAGAATCTAACTTCAATTTAAGAATAATTTTAGAGAAACTCAATTTACAAGATGTTAAGTTTTCAGCAGCTTT